GGGAGGGGGGGGGCGCTGGTACTGCCCTTCCCTCCTGTCACCCGCACTGGCCTTCTGCCCCCAATTTCCCGCACTGGCCCCCCATCCAGCCCCCCCAGCCCTGCACTCAGCCTCCCACCCTGCTCTGCCACCCCAGAGACGTTGCCTGTGAGTCTCCAGGCACAGAGCAGCTGGCGTCTTTCCAGCGAGTTTCCCCATGTTTTATTCTCTTGTTCTGAAGTTGACCATTGAACACTTGGCGTTGGCTTTGAGTGTGTGTAGCCCTCATGGGCAGGGAAGTGTCAGGCTGCAAGAGCACTGGAATTTTCCCTAGTTCCAGGGTTCCCCAATTTCACCCAGTGGAACATCCCTGGGAGTGAGGACTCGGAGCCTTTCGCTAGCCCATTTCACCCGGGTGGGGGAGGAGCCAGGAAAGTTCCCCTCAGTAGCAGACGGGTCCCTGCTCGCGCTCCCAGAGCCCCTGGCTACGAGCTTGGCCGAGCAGGGGACCATTCCCCACATGCGCAGCCTCGTGGGCAGCAAAGGGCAGCAACAGACCCACCTGCGCCCGGCCCAAGAGGCGCCTGACGTGACCCAGGGGCTGGGTTGGGGTGGCATTGGGAACCAGAACCCTGGGAGACCCAGCCCAAGGCACCAAACCAGCAGCCTGCTCCCCAGACATGTCCTGGCTGCTCGGCCGAGCAGGGGACCATTCCCCACATGCGCAGCCTCGTGGGCAGCAAAGGGCAGCAACAGACCCACCTGCGCCCGGCCCAAGAGGCGCCTGACGTGACCCAGGGGCTGGGTTGGGGTGGCATTGGGAACCAGAACCCTGGGAGACCCAGCCCAAGGCACCAAACCAGCAGCCTGCTCCCCAGACATGTCCTGGCTGCTCTAACTTCTCCCCCAGCGCCAGCTCTGGTGAACGGCAGCCCCCCTCCAGGGATGCCGGAGGCCTCCCGCCTTGGTCCCTTTCTCCCAGGTCCCCCTCTCCTCCTGGATCCACCAGCCAGGCCTGTGTATTGTGCAGCATGGACACCATCTGCGTCCTGAGGGCGGCGGAAAGCAACGCCCAGAGCAGCCTGATGCTGGTACCCGCTGGCCAGGCCTAGCCGCGGGCGCCCG